AAGATACAAATGAACAAAGTGGAAATGAAATTGGACAAAAAATATATATATAAAAAAATGTCTGGGAATGGGGGAAATAAAAGATAAGAAAAATGACTTAGTGTCTGATCTCAAATCTTTACAGGACAAATCTTATATTTATTATGATGATTTTTGTATGGCTACCATGACAGAATTGTTTCTAACAAAGTGTTTGAAGTCCAGGTTTTAAAGAGTATGTTGATAATAAGACAATAAAATAAGATGGCATATGGAGTAAGCAGGTGCTTGAAAATGTCAAAGCCTCATTTAATTTTGTTCAAACTTGAATTCAAGGCTTTCCTTGCTTACTGACATTGTGAAACGGAATATGACGGGGGGAAAGCTGCGGAAGCAGAGGTAGAATCTAAATAAAGGGGGACATCTAGTGGCCAACTGGAGTATTAGTAAGAAATCTGCTTTTGAAATGAGAGCGTTCCTGCAGTTATTCCTTTATTTAATTCATGCACTTGACGCATGGTTGAGCTCCTCTGTATTACCTGTTTTTCTTAGTCATAAATTGAAGATGTTCTGGCGACAAATACTGGAATCAGTACATATAAATATTTCCCTCTTCTAATTAAAGCAAAACTCTCATTATAAATGTTGTAAGCTGTGCATATTTTCATAAAGGAACTTGATGTTTTTAATTGTCTTTGTTCCCTAAAATGAAGGATACTTATATTCATTTTTATTTAAACATTAAAAAAAAAAATGTCTCAATAAAAGAAATGTTTTTGTTACACATATTAAACATATTATACAGGATTCTTCACAGAGTTGCTGTTTATACTGATTGCTGTGGGCAGGAAGGGTCTCCTGTAACTTTCTTTCTTAAAATGGTTCATAATCATAAGCCTCTAATCAAGGACAATGTCTGATTACAGTATGTTCACATTGTCCATATTTTTCTTAATTTTATGAAGACTGTCAACTTAATGCTTGATGTTTTTGTTTATTTATTATAATAAATCACTAATTTGATTTAATTTTGTTTTAAAACTGTGAAATATATCTTGCCAGGGTCGGGTGGAGGATGGTTAAGGACCCAAATGAGATGATGAAGGAGGCAGAGGTGAGTTCTTGCAGGACTAATGAGTAAAAAAAAAAAAAGGCAATAGAAAGAAAATCTAAGAACCAAATATACTAAACAAAAAATCAGGGGAAAACACACATGAGGAGCCAAGTAACAATGAGAAACCCGCAATGCGGAAATGCAAACTATATGTATATATGGGGGACAGAATAAAAAATGGGCTAATCAGCTGATATGGAGTAGGTGTTGATAGAAGCAACTAGCTAAGGGAGCTAGGGGAAAGGACACAGGCACAAGGGGGCAACAGAGAGTAACAAAACTGCAGCATAGCTTAAATATAACACAAAATGGAAAATAGGCCAATCACCAACAAAACAGAATGACATAACTGAAAAAAAAAAAACTAAAAAAAAAGTTCAAAGGGGGAGAACCATAACAATATCAACAATATATGAACTTGAAACAAATGTAAGTTTCATTGTATAATTTAATCTAATGTGATGGCTGCCATCAAAACAGAGCATTATTTACTTGGATTGAATAAAGTAGCTGCTTTCAACTCCTTTACCAAAATATAGAATTTCCATTTAATGCCTTTTAGAGTATTTCACAAAAAATCTACACACGAGTAAAAAAAATCTTGCTTTTTTTGCATTTACAAGTTTAACAGAAATGTATTCAAAAACAATAAAATGTTTTTTTTCTTCAATTTATTAGTTTAAAATGTGTTAACTTGTTAGGCAAGTCTATATAAGACCCAGAAGATTCTCAGTTGATTATTTTTTTATTTCCTTATTAAGTTGACTGAGCTGAATGTCTGAAAAACTTCCCTGCTTCTACCTATTTAGATAGATCAATAAAATCAGACAAAAAGATATAATAAGACGCCGGAAAAGGGCCCCTCCAAAAAAAGGCCCAACGGGGGAAAGCCCCCGGAAAACAAGGCCCGGCCCCCGTTAAGGCCCCCGGAACGAAAAAAAAAAAACTAAAAAAAAATCCAAAGAAGAAAAGGGCCGGAAAAAAAAAGGGTAACGAAAAAATAAGGTTTAACAAATAATTTAAAAAAAAAAAGGGAAAATGAAAAAAGAACCCAAGTTTCAACCCCCTAAATGTTTTTTTTTTTCAAAAAAAAAAAAAAAAAACAACAAATTTTTACAGCTGAATTTATCAGTTTCTCTTGAGTTCTAATTCAAATTTTATAGAAAAAGGTAATTTAATTTTAACCGCCACTGCTGCTGTATATGGTAAATAAATATCCATATTAGCTGATGCTCTGTTAAAGATTCAAAGCTAGTAATTAAGCTTTACTTATACAGCACCTTTCTCAGACAAGCGTTTAAAACTGCAGTACATGATGAGGCATAAATTACAAAACAGCACCATGCTGTATAAAATACATGTAGACAAAATGAATACAATCATAATTGGTGGGTCAAAAGGTGTTTTTTACAATGGGCTGAGAATAAACTGAAGAATGAGAGATTAGTCAATATTTAGAGCACCGGTGTGTTTACAGCATTTTTTTTTATTGTATTTGTTTTCAATTATTTTTGTTATACTCAGCAGCAGATTGGAAATATATAAATAACCTTTTAAAAGACACTTATATGATCAGATTCACTCTGCTGTATATATGAAGAGAAGAGACTACATATTTTCAAAGTCCAATACAAAATTAAGTCCAATACAAAATCCAATATAAAATGGGGCATTTACATCTCAAACGAAGAGAATGTGCTAAATATTGTTTTTTTTTTTTTTTTTTTTTTTTTTAACAATAAAGTATTAATCCTTAAGAAAAAGCTGCTACAGGCTGCAGAAGATCAACCACTGTGGTGGAGATTCACCTTCCAGCATGACATTGACTCTAAAGATACAGGACTATGCATGGAACGCTTGTAATCAGAGCCTATTTATATCACAGAATGGCCAAGTGAAAGTAGGCCTGAATCCAATTGAGAATCTGTGGAAAGACTCGACAACTGATGATCAAAGACTGAGCATCAGTTATTGTAAAGACATTTTAAGCTTCTGGGCATTGAAACGTGGCAGACAGACCTAGAAATGTTTGTAGATTTAATTGCAGTGATTGTCAGACTGAGTCTTTTATGAGCCTGGAGAATTTTATGTACCGGTAAATGTAAACCAAATTTATTACTTTTAATTTTAAAAAAAAGTCAACATGTTTCTCTCTATCTTATCTTCAAGCCTTTTGTGTCGAGCTACAGTACTATTTCAACAGTTTTTCACAATGCAGGTGATTGGATATTCCTTATAAGATCTAAATGATTTATCCATCCATCCATTTTCGGCCAACATTGTCATGGTTGCGGTGGGGCAGTTGCCTATCTCCGGCAGTCTACGGGTGATATTTCTTAATTTTTTTTTAAGCTTTTTTTTTTTGTGTGTGTGTGTGTTTGAACCTAATTTTTGGCTGGTTCAAGCAAAAATAGACCAAAACATGTTAACACTGGCCTGGACAATGCAATTGTATGCATGGACACTAGGGAGCAATGTTGTACAGGCAGTGATACAAGGTTTAAAGGCACCGGGTCAAATGACTCACTACAGTTCTTCAGTTGCTTTTTAAAAAGTATAATAAATATTATAGTTTCCAAAAATCTTTTATTACTATTATTAAATGACTTCTATTACATTTTTTTTCTTCTTTTGGCTGCTGATGATTCATCACTAGAACAGTAATTCCTGAAGTTGGGATTTTGACCCCACTCAGGGTCCTTTATCAGTCAGTATAGAGTCGTAACATCCACTACAGAAATTAAACTAAACAATAACTATTAATGTTGAAGTGATTAAAGATATAAAAGCATCACTAAAGATGGACCAGATCAACTGCCTTGGTTGTTGAGGCTAATTCTAATATTTTACAATTGTGTCTAATTGATTTTGGTGAAAGGTTTGTATACTCAATCAATATATTGGGACATGACTTGACCCTGGCACCATTTTGTGGGTCAGAAGCTGAAAAGTTTGGGAACCATTGCTTTACCCTACAACTGATTTGCTTCTTGTTAGCTTCTAACTGTTTGGTTTGCTAATCAAAGACCAACAATAATAAGAATTAAAAAAAACTTGATCACTTGTGTCTGCACAATATTTGCAATTGTGGTATATTTCAGCAACAAGCTCAACAATAGAATACAACCTAAACAGTGCATGTTAACCTAACATAAATCATTTATTTAAAATTCTGCAACCTCTTTTTTGATTCAGTAAAAGAAACCTTCTTAGATTAGGATTCTGGTGCAATCAGAAGTTCAAAGTCAAAGAGGAAAATATGAGCCTTATATAGACTTGTGATATAGATCAGCACAGTTACAAATGAGCAATGACAAGATCTTGTTTACTGCAAAAGTACTTTTATTTCAGAGCCCTTGAGCGCATACAAAAAAAGGTTGCACTGTTAGCAGTACATATTCAAAGTTACATTGCAGCTTCAAGTAAAGCAGTTTAACCAGTGGTTATGGATACTTCATTTTAAGAGACAGCCGTTCAACATTCAAATTCATATTCTTGACTGTAGTCCTGCACAATGAGCTGTAAGTAGATGAGCTGAGGGAAGATGCACCTGTTAGCTCTGAAAGCCCTAGCCTAGTACCTGAATTAGCTATTTTTGCTAAGGTGAACTTTTAAAGGAAAACACATTTTAAGACTGAATGGCATGTATTATGTTTATGAAAAAACAAAACAAAAAAACGTATAAATTGTCATGCAAACAATGACCTGCTTTGAGTGTATTCTTGAAAACAGACTCTATCCAAAATAAGAAAAATATACTTATGTACAATTTTGGGTCCTGCCCACAGTGAGCAAATAAAGCAGTCTGGTTAAGGCACTCACCAACTTAATAATAACTTATTACAAAGCTGGAAGAAAATAGTTAAATACTAAGCTACTATAATTTAGCCAGTGTTTTTTTTTTTTTTTTTTTTGCATAAAAATATACAAAACACAAAAGAGGCACTGAACTTCGCGGAAAATTAGGCACTTGTGGATAAAACAATCTCCACTGTTTCCCACTTTGGATTTCCCTGGAAAGTATAGTTTGCAGGTCAGCATAACCCTATGGGTGTATACAGTTCCTTTATGGAGGTGACCACCTGCAGTATCTCTGAGGACGATGCATAAAAAGTTTGTGCATGTTGAGAATTATCTACATGTGCCTCTTCATGTGGAGAGCCAGGTGGTCCGAGCGGGAGAAGGCGCGTTCACACAGGTGACACTGAAAAGGTCTGTGCCCTGTGTGTTTCCTGAAGTGCCGAGTCAGCTCGTCGGATCGGGCGAACTTCCAGCCACAGCCTTCCCAGTTGCAGTGGTAGGGCTTTTCACCTGGATACACAAAAAAATAAGTGAGATTGGATAGAAATGCAGGTGGCAGATACAACAAAAACTGCAAATGAAAAGAAAAAGGGTCTCACCTGTGTGGGTCCTCATGTGCGCCTTGAGATGAGAGCTCTTGGTGTATGTTTTCCCGCAGCCTGGAAACTCGCAGTTGTGTGTGGCGGCGCGTTTTCTTGTCCAAGACTTGCGTCCTCGCTTTTGTTTAACGCACCCAGCCTCATCGTGCCCGTAAAAGTCCAAGAGAGGCGATGAGGGAGGAGTGAGCATCATCCCCTGCAGAGAAGCGGGATGGTGCTGCTGGTGGTGCATGCTGTAACGTCCCTGGAACTGTGGCACACCTCGGTGTGCGTACTGTGGGTGATATGGTGCGTGCATGTACTGGTTTGATAGATGGTTCTGATCAGGATGATGATGATGGTGATTATGGGAGGTCATTGATGAGTTCATTTGCACCAATGTGCAATCTGTGCTTCCCTGAAGTGGAATCGGGTGCGCGCTGAAGCTCTGTGCCGCACCTGGAATTGAAGGCTGGTGATGCGTAAAAGGTGCTGAGCGCATCTGGCGTTTGTCAAAAACTTCTTCCACAAAGTTTGCAGCTGCTATCATACAAGACTGGACCCCTGGCTCGGTTTTAATTTTGTATCCAAGCGGGGATGGAGATGAACCCGGATTGGAGTGTGCAGTGCCATTTAAAGCCCGCAGTTCGGTGTACTCGCAATTTTCCCTCGCCTTGTCTGCCCTCTCCAACGCGCCTTCTGCTGGATAACCCATCTCAGGTGTGAGAAGCTCCGCCATCAGGCTGCGGACAGGGTTCTCCACGAAGTTGCTCGCTACGCCCTCATAGCCATGTGGTGCTGATTGAGAAGTGGTATGATCGGTGGAGTCTGGCAGAGAACCCCCGCCGCAGCTTTCCGGAGACTCCGGCAGGGAGTATCCACACTGCTGCTGCGTGGGGGACATGTCCCCACTGTCGCTGTTTCCGACAGAATCAGTGCAGATCGAGTTTGAAAGGATGAACTCAAGGTCCAGAAACTTCCCCAGCTCGTCTTCATCCTTGAGAGGCGCAGGAGAATGAACGATGCTGAAGTCAACCTCAATGCGCGCACTGCCTGCGCCAGCTGTTCCGCCGCTCCGAGCCCATTCATCCATATGGCAAAGCTGCAAGTAAATACAATAATTGAAGCTCGAATCAGAGAACACACTAAATAAAACAGCAAGGTGGAAATAAACAAAGACATTTTCAAAAAACGTATAGAAAATATTTTTCAACTTACATTATCCATTGCTTTGAAATTTGGAAACGACGTCAAAGTAGGCATCAGTGCCTCAGCCACAGCCATAATGGCCAATCTGAGTATCTATCAGTCGGAATTCAAGACTTCCAAGTCTTTGCGCACATAAAGCGCACGTTTAGGCTGCGCTAAAAGCTCAGGAGAGGTCCAGGATTCAGGATGTGAGTGTCAACACTGCAGGCAGAGCTTTATACAGCCGGTAGGTGTGGCCTCGGCTGGAATAACCGCAAGCACATGTACATGCACGCCCCCATTCAGTTAGAAAAATGCACTGGAATTTCATGAACAGGTGAGATCAAAGCACATTAACTTTTAAAGACGTGATCTTTAAATAAACTAATAATAATAATAATTAAAAAAAACGTGCGTGTAGATAGATAGATTGGGAGAGAGAGAAATAGAGAGTCGGACCAAAGTAAGATTTTTGGTGATACTGGCTTTTAGCTAGAATACATTTCTACTGACTCAGGATATTTCCCCACAGGCATTGGCCCATCTGAATTCCCGTATGGATTTCATTCGCATGAAACCTGACATTTACCTTGAAGCAGAGGCAGAGGGGAGACTCAAAACATGGAAACACGGCTTCTCTATCGTGCAAGAAGCGTAAACAAGTTATTTGTTTTTAAAACATGACTCGATTGTAAATAAAATCATTTTAAAGGATGTTATTTTTTTCCAGGGAACAACAGTGGCGTGACACATTCCACCCCCCCTCCTCAAGCACACGTACACACAAATGAACAGTATCTAACTATTTCTCAGCCCCCTTTAGTTTCGTCCCAGCCACTTTAAACAGAGACGCATTACTAATTCATCTCGAAATCATCCGAGCTTGTTTAGGACAAACATAAACGTGTGAAGCGGAGAGGACCCATCGAGACAACCTGTTAATCCGGGAGTAAACAAAGGACTGACCCACATGTTGCATTAATGATCCCCCCTTCTGCCGCGACTACAGGCAGGTCTGCAGCACCCTGCAGTCATTCCTTTGGTAATGCACAGGTGGATGAGTGGCAACAACATAACAGAGGAACACATACACACACCTACACGCAATTCTGACTTTTTTCTCATAATTATGACTTTAATTTCAGAATTATGTTTTTTTTATCTCAGAATTATGACTTTAATCTCAGAAATATGGGTGTAATCTCAGAATTATGACTTTAATCTAAGAATTCTGACTTTTTTCCCATATTAAACTGAAATAAAATAAAAAAATCAGTCAACTTTTAATTTATTTCAGTGGCCCTAATCCTCCTCCGTATTTGTGTATATGTATATATATGAAAAATATTTGTGATTATATATATATATATATATATATATATATATATATATATATATATATATATATATAGATCTATTTTACATAATTTTAGATAATTTTAACACAAACTAGTCAAATAAAACTTACATGATGCATATTCAGTTCTACAAAGTATTTGAAAAACATAGTCATCAGGTTTAGGTAAATGTCAGACTCTGCATCAAACTGATCATATCAATGCGTTTTTGTTTTTTTGTAGCATGTTTTTTTTCTCTCAAAATGTTTACATTTGATCACTGCTGCACTTGAAGAAAATGAAAATATCATGAGAGCTGTGCAAAACGAAATTTCATTTTGTATACACTGTGTAAATAAAATGACAATAACTGTTGTCTAAGTATAATTGCTTAAAATTGATACTAATTTGTGAATTTATTATAAATATATAAAGTTTGAATTGCATAAAGCTAACCCTGATTAATTTGTAACTCAATCAGTAAACTCTGTGCATTCAAACAAAACACAATCCACTTTCTTTGTTTAAAATGTGGTAAATATTATATTTTATGACCAAACACAATCTACATTTTTACCCTGACATAAAACATGTGACTTTTTTCCCCTATTGTTCAGTATCTCATAAGTTTTCCATTAGTTTTTCAAACCGTATCACTTAAAGTACAACAATGTCCTGACAACAGTGCTTTGGCTCTCTCCTATGTCCTCCTTTAGGCCTTGTGAGCAGCAGCCTCTTGCAGCTCCCTGCTTTTATACTCTGTTATTTTTGTCCTAGTGTGCTTACGCAAAACAAATTCCGGTTCAGCCTACAAGCGAAATGGAAATGGAGTCCGTTTCCTGAGGAAAAACTTCACACTCGCTTCCTGTACTTTCACTCCACAGTCACCTTCAGACAAGTTTAAGGATACAGATGCAGCTACGTGTGCCCTTTTTTCCAAATATATCATTATGGCAAAACATTAAACTGTGTGCTCATCAGTATGTGAGTTTAGTTTAGATTTTTAAGGGTAATTTCTGATTTCACTCTCTTGTTGGCCTATCTAAGTCAAAATAACAGCAACAATTTAGGGATAAAAGTCTCCAAAATCTGATGTTACTCCAAGAGCACTCAGAAACAACAATCCGTCTTGTCTCATCAAAGGTCTTATCATTCTGAGCTTTTGTAAAACTCAACAACAACAAAAAAACTTGCCAAGAATAGTGACAGACAGATAAAGTAGCCCTAGGCTCGGGTTTCTCTTTTGTGACTCTCTTTGTGAAAAAAAGAGGAAGTCTTACAGCTAGTGTTTTCCAAACACAATTAGCTGAGATTACAGTGGTGAGCAGACGAACATACAGAACAAGGCTTTTCAGCTCAGACACAGATTAAAGCTAACATACATTTAATGTGAAATTTAAGTCTTATTTACTTTTCCCAAAACTGCTTTTTGCATTTGCCTTTGTCTTAATACCTTTACTACAGAAAAAAAAAAAGAAAAAACTTTCTGTAACACTGAGAAAAAGGTCTGACTGGTACCTAAACCTAGAAGCAGTCAAATAAGAAATTATTTTGTGTTTTCCTTTTGCAGCATAAACAAATATGCTGTTATTGAACAATCAATGCTATTTCAGACTAAAACATGTAGCCATTTCAAAAGCTAAAAACTGTTTAATATAATATTTTTGACAGACCCTGTTTTTGTAGATAAACTCTATATATCAGGGGTCTTCAACATTTACCAGGCCAAGGACCAACAAATCGATGGCGAGATGGAGCGGGGACCTCCTAATTATATATATATTGTATGAAATTGTGTTTTCTCAAACTGGTCCAATAGTCACTCTATTATATATTAAGTAATGTAACAAAAGTGATTTTGCCCTGGGATTATTAAAGTATTTCTGATTCCGATTCCTGGTTGATGGGACAGATGTTGTGACTGAAATGGTGCCCTGCTTGAAAGAGCTCCTGTGTGTCACTGAATGCATTGAAGACTAAAAGGCATCTTCTGCCTCCATTTATCTGTTTATTACAGTGGGTTGAATTCATGTTAATGTGTATTTAAAGACATTTCAATTAGTGGAAAAAATTGCAGGGGGGAATATAAAAAAAAAAAGTCCAATCAATCAAAACTTTTGCGACCCCCATTCATTACCTCCGATGACCCCCAAAGGGTCACAGACCCCCTGTTGAAGACCTCCGCTCTATATAATTAAGTAAAACTTCATGTAATTGTCTAAAAAGTTGTCTAAAAATTCCAAAATGTTTCCCACTGAAAAGAAAAAAAGTAAAACTTAAAGGGAGGTTTTGGGATTTGTATACGTTTTTATAAAAAAACAAACAAAAAAAAGATTTAATGAAAAAAAAACGAAAAATGCTTATTTCAGTTTATAAACTTAAATATGGCATATTTTATATGACAATGCTTATATTTTTATATATAAAAATAAAACAAACAGAAGAGGCTAAAACGGCTCATGGCAGCTAAAAAGGAATAACATAGAAAAATTATCCTACATTAAAGTGACACCTTTGTATTTTTAACAACAATTGAAAGTCAAAAGGATATTTCAAAACATTTAAGTTGTGGAGGAATGCTGGAGGAAGACTTTTTTTTTTTTTTTTACAGTGTTTTAAAGGTAAGTGAAGAAATTATGGTAGACAGCTTAGACCTGTATATCACATTTTATAACAAATGCCATATATATATAGTAGATCCTTTGTTTTTTATATGGTTGTATTTTAAGTGAGTGCTTGTGTTCACATTCCTTTCAAAACATCAGAACAGCCAGCCAGGAACATTTTTGTTTAGCAAAAATACAGGGACACACACAGACAAACACCAACAGCAATTATTCTCCATCACCCACACAGAGAGGGGAAACCCAGTTGCTATCTTGGATAAATATGCTGCCAAGCATGGCATGAAAAAGCAACAAAATGATTAGAGAGGGGGCAAGAAAGAGAGTGCGACGACAGCAAGGAGACAAACAAGCTACCTTCCAGAAAGATATCAAGACATGAAGGAAGGGGAGACAGGAAATAGCAACAAACCGAGGAGAATCATGGGAAAAAAGAAATAATAAAAACTACATCTCACAGTGCTCTTATCTTTTATTTTGCCTTCCTGGGGCCACAGATAGATTTTTTCTCTGGGGTCAAAAAGTCATGGTTTAAGCAAGGGAAGCTCTTTGCATCTAGAAACTGAAACAAAAAAAAAAAAAATCTAAAATAGAAAATGAAAACAGATTGCACTGATATAAAGTTTTACTAAATGAGCTCTGATTAAGATAACACTATGGTTAAGCACAATCAAAGACTAATGACTCCATTAGCAAATATCTTCCTAATGAGATCAAAGTACATTCAGTGACACATACCTGACCAGGATCAGATATAGTTAGAAGGTTGAATGATGTTGATGACCTTTGAGTAGGTGTAGCAGGACTGTTTCCACACTGTCAAACATTTCTGTTACTATTTCAACCACTTATCATGCAATAATCACAAGAAAAAAAAACTTTCAGGGTGTTTTATTCTTCTTAGTTGTGGTTATTTAAAGCTAACCTATTAGGTTTTAGAGAATGGATTATTTTTTTTTTTACAAATAGTCAAATAGTGGACAGAGCTCTGATGTCCCTAATGAATGTCCTTGATGCAATCAAAATGCATTTCTTTCAATGTAATTTGTTTTAAATTCAAGATGATAGATAGTTTTAAAACTGCTTCTATATAAAGTCCTTAAAAAAGCTCAATAACCAAGTTGGACAGGTGTGTAAACATGTTAATTTATGTTTTTTACTCTTGGTTTTATTTTAGTAATAAATCTTTTTGCAGAAGTCTATCTGGTTGAAGAATTTTGATTAATAAATATTTGATCTTC